CAGCAGCACTACAGGGAAAGCAAGAACCCTGGATCCAGCCAGAAGGGAAGGAGCACGTGGTCTCTCAGTATGGCCCCCCTCCCAACCCCGAGAATAGCCCCCGGGAAAAGCACAGCCACTGTCAACCCCAGAGACAGTTCCTCCCTAGGATCTGTACACTTGGAGGAAAATGTTACCCTATTCCCCAGGGCCTCCCGCCTCTGCCACCCATGCTCGGGGCCCCTGGCAGGGACTGTGCCCTGCTCAGGACAGCAAGCAGCCCATGTGCTTCCACCCCCACCCTCTCCTTGTTCCCAACTCCCAGGTTATGACACAGGGGCAGGAGAAGGAGACCAAACTGGGGGTGGGGCCTTAGAGGGAAAGGGGGCAGGGATCTGAAAGAGTATAAAGGGCCTCAGAAGTCCTGGCCAGAGACTCTTTTGCTGTGCCGCTCTGCACCTGCCCAGCGCCATGGTAATGTCTGGTGGCCGAGTCCGGGACCCCTGCCAGCTGTGTTCTCCAGGAACTTGGGGGTGGGGGCGGCACCAAGGGCCCCTCCTAGGGCATTAAGGGCATGAAGGAGCAAGGCCAGGGCAGCCCCCTCTGCCGGTCTGATGGCCAGGACAGCTGCCAGGTTTCTGTGCCTGCTTTGGATTTTGGGGATGAGAGGAGTTCCTGATGAAGAGAGGGTTGAGGGTCTCAAGGGCTCCGGGTGGGGGGGGGGTCATGTGTATGGATACCATAGTACATGAGTCACTGTGTGTGCCTATGTGTTGCTGGCACAAAATTCTTTGTGCACAGCTGGGTGTGGTGGAGGGGATCCCTGGGCTGGTGTTCCTGTGTGCAACTGTCAGTCATTCATTTAACGTGTATTATTGAGCATGTACCAAGTGTCAGGCACTGTTCTAGGTGCTTGTGATACATCAGTGAGCAGAACAGGCAAAGAGCCCAGCTGTAATGGTGCTTACATTGGGAGGGGAGGTGCTGCTGGGCAGGGACGAGGACAATAAAAAAATAAGCATAGAACACAGTGAGTTAGAAGATGCAATGGGGGGAATAGAGCAAGATGAAGGGATGGGTTGCGATTTTAAACAGGGATGTCAGAGTAGGACCCATTTAGAAGGCGAATTTTGAGCTGATGCCTGAAGGAGGTGAGGAAGCTGGCCATGCGTATATCTTGAGGAGGAATCTTCCAGGCGGAGAGAACAGCATGTCTGGCATTTTTGAGGAACAGCAAGAAGGCGGGCGAGGCTGGAGCGGGGTGAGCAAGGAGTTTCTGAAGAGGTCAGCGAGGTTAGGGAGCTGACCAGTGGCTCTAGGCCGTCCTCATGTGTCCACCTCAGGGCGTGCCGCCCTGTCCATCCCCATCCCCATCCCCACGGTCCCCGTTTCTCAGGTGCTTTCCGCGCATCACTGCGCACGTCCAGGTGCACCATTCCGCCTGGGCACCTGGACTCCCTTACGGCGCTCGTGCACCTGTGTACGTCCCAGAGGCAGACACGTCAACGGGTCAGAGCGCCCCGGCAAGCCAGCTCGCCCACCACGCCACAAGTCGAGGGTCAGGGAGTCACGTGACAGCCCGCGCCTCTGTCTGTCCCGCCCCCTCCAGGCGCCAGCTCTGCGGTGCGCGTGCGCACTGGCCCTGGTGTGCCTGGTGGTGGTGCTGCTGCTGTGGCCGGAGGGCGCCGTGGCGGAGGAGCTGCAGCCGGAGCAGCTCCCTGGGCCCAGGGCGGCCGAGTGGCTGAACTTCAGCCCTTTCAACAAGTACATGGAGAAGTTCTTCAGCCGCAGGTGGGCGGGGAGGGCGGGAGGAAGGAGGGGTGGGCGAGGAAATGGACCCCACCTGTCCCCCGCCCCCCCGCGCATCACGGCTCCGTAACCTCTGCAAAGATGTGTTCTCCAGCTTGAAGTCTAAGGACAAGAAATCTAAAGGACACAAGAAAACCGCGAACGCCCCAAAAACCCCACCAGGGAACGCCACGATCCCCCAACAGAACCCCACGAAACTCCCCCCGCAGCACACCAGGAAAGCCGGGCCTCCTCCCAGGGCCCCGGGTAGGGGGAGCCTGAGCACGGCTGGACCAGTCAGCGGCCTCAGAACTGGGGGGCAGGCTGGCGGGTAGCGAGAGGAAGTCCTGGGGGTAGGGGGGATACCAGGGCCCCCGGTCTTACTTCTGCGGGCCGGGTCTGGACCTCCAGATGCTCGACTCCAGTCTCCCCGCCCACCGACCCCCTTTGTATTCTGACAGGGGCCTTAACTCCTCCCCACTCCCCAGTGAGAATAAAGAGAAACAAAATCTCTGTTGTTGCCGTGACTTCTGTGGGCCCTGGGCAGGAAAGGACCTGTTCTACAAGGGGGAGAGGGGACGCTGGAACTCCTGCTGTGGGAGAAAAAGACCTCAGCTGCAGCGTCTTCCCTGCCTCCTCCCTGCAACCCATCCCCCTCCCCCACCTCACACACACGCCACTCCCAGGGTGGGGGCTCTAACGAGAGGGAGAGCAGAGGAGAGAGAAGCAGGTCCCAGCAACCTCAAAGCCAGACCGCCCCCGGCACCAAGTTTCAATGCAGAGCAGGGCAGCTTCAACGCCGGCCTGGGATGTCTGTGGCACAGTGACAAGCAGAAGTGCCTTTGCCTGCCCTTCAATGTGCAGAGTGCAAGGTCCTGCCTTTGCCTCCGGGACCCTCTTGTCCTCTCTGGCAGTGAGGAGAGCAGGGGGAGGGGCAGGAGCCTAGCCAGGGCCTGTCCCTGAGCAGCTCAGTGTGAGGGTGGCACTCTCATCTGGGGGCTGATGACCATCAGAGAGGCCTAGGCAGGGGCACCTCTCGTGATCCAACCCTCAGACACAGGTATGTCCTGAGCAGGGTCCTAATTCCTGCCCCTGGGAAGTATCTACACATCTCCCTACTCAGAGCCCATCTCCTTAACTGCCAGAGAAAATTCTGGGACTTCAGGCTCCATCATCCAAACTCAAGCTCTGTTCTGCTGAAACCAGCCCCTTCCCAGACACCCCCTTGGATTTAAGAATCCACCTGAGCCGTGCGTTTGCCTGGTAGCTGCATCCTCTCTAGCCCTTTGCCTTTTAGGGCCTGGTTCCACTTTCAGGTTATTGGCATACACCCTCGCAGCCAGGACTTGAGGGCAAACACATTGTGGTGTCGTTGCCATGGGGTCTGTGTGAGGTGCCGAGCCCAGAAAGTCGACCCCCTCATCCACCAAACCACAAGCTCCATCCCTTCAGGCGGAGCATGCGGGGGAGGCAGGAGAAGCCATTGCAGGAACCGGGAAGGTTCTGATCCTCTTATTCCCCCCTCGCCCCCAAATGACTGTGCTTTATACACAGGTGCTCTCAGCCCCAGGAAAAGCGAAGAGGGACAAGACCCCCCCTCCCAGTGACACACACACACCACCCCATCTCCACCTATCAGGGTGCCTGAGAAGGGCAAGGGCTGGTGAAGGCCCCTGGGGCCCCTGGGACTCCTCCTCAATGCAGGCCTCCCTGGGCAGGATCTGAGTCCTCGCCCTCCCAGGGCTGGAGTGTGGAATCCATAGATTGGACCCCTGGAGGTGGCTGGAACTCTCGGCTAACCCAGCCTCCTCCCCTACGGCTGCATTCCCCCTGCGGCCTCCCCTCCTGCAGCTGCTCGAATAGCAACTCCTCCCAGGAGTTCACTACCTCTCCGGACAAGTTCTCTCCAAATTTCTGGTTCTTCAGAGATGCTTCTATAGAGTCACGGAAAGCCTGCCTTCCCGAGCCCCCTCCTGGAGCCATATGGAGTTAACCATAGTCCTCTTCCGCAGATGAAACTTCACACGCTTGAAGAGCATGTTCTCTCTCTCTGCCAGTCTTCCCAGCATGCTTCACAGGCACAGCTGGTTGCCCGGGGGCTGTGTCACAAGTCTGCCCCTCAAAAGCTCCCATTTGCTGAGCATTCACGTGGGTCAAGGGCCATACTAAATGTCTCATATGCATTATTTTCTCATGCTCACTGAGACGTTATCATTCTTCCCATTTTCCAGATGAGGAATCAGGCTCAGCGAGGTTATATCCCTGCCCAAAAGCACATGGACAGAAAGTGGCAGATCCCAGATTCAACCCCAGGTTCATCTGACTATAAAGCCGATGCTGTATTCCTATGTTAGATTGCTGTCTGCTGCAGGACCTTGGACAAGCTGCTGTACCTCTGTAAGCGTCGGTTTTCTCCTCTGAAGAGTGATGATAACAGTATCTCCCTCACAGCGTTGTGGAGAGGGTGACATGCCCCTGGCACACAGTAGGCTCCTTTTCCCTCCCAACAATCTGCATATGACACTGTCTCCAGACCCCTCCCCATCACAGCCCCCCTCCTCCTGCCGTGCTTCTGTGCCCTGCCCTGTGCCCCGAATGAGCTGTGCTCCAGCTGAACTTGCACAGTGACACATCTCTGACCTGTCCAGAGGAGGGCAGCTGTGATGCCACTGATGCAGCTGGTGACTGTCTTAGCACAAGACATTCCTCTGGGCTGGGCTGTCGCCCCTGCCCCCATGCCAAGACACTTTAGTATAAGTTTAGTACTCCACCTACTGCCCAGGCTATAGGAAAGCATTGGTGGTGGGTACATTTGGGGACAGAGCTGTCGTCAGGCCGATGATCAGGAGGGTCTAGAGGTGCTGCAGTGGGAAGATTCACTGACTTGCTGAATGACCTTGCGGGAGTCCCTGCCTCCCTCTGGGCCACAACTTGCCCCTCTGTGATGTGGAGAGAATGAGCCGAATGGCTCTGATGACCGTACAGATGTTCTGGATCATTAATGCCACTCTCCTTTCCCTTGTTCTCTCCCCTCCCCTTGTCTCTCTGGTGCATTTGGCCCCTTCTACCCCCACAGGGGTCCGCAGACACACACACACACACAGAGGCTGTGACTTTGATTTGCTTTATTTAGCCTGTGTGGGAGCAAGGAACAAGCTTCGGTGGGAGATGAGGGTGCAAAGGGGAGAGCTGGGCCGGCACTGCCCTTGGATTAGAGGAGGCAGGAGGCGGCATTACAAATCCATCGGGCTGAGCTCCCTGTGAGGAGAGGGCAGAACATGGCAGTGTGAGTGGGTGGTCCTCATGCCCTCAGGAGATCTCAGGCCAGCCCTGGGTCCCTGTTCTCCCCTCCCTCTGCCTCCACCTCCATCCCCACCCCCGTTTCAGCCCCAGGGAGCTGGCAGACAGGGCTGGGAATCAAACCCACCTGGGGCCAGGTGCGTCGGGGGAGCCCCACTCCAAGAACTCCAGCGTGTCTTCTTTGTCTCTTTTCCCATACCTGGGGGCGGGGGGTGCAGAGAGGCAACTGGGGCAAGTGCTGTGCCCAGGCGCCAGCTCACCTGCCTCCTGCCTACCCTTGGGCACCATCCCACCCGGGACCCAGGCCTGGTCAGTAGAGATGCTCTGCATTCCCAAGAGCATGGAAGGGGCTGGGGCTGGGGGCGTGGCCCAGGGTCCCAGCGGCTGGGATCTGTCTCCCTCTGTCTCGCACACACCTGGGCCTGGTCAGCATGTTGATGTATCTGCGGAGCTCAGCCGCATATTGGGCCATCTCCTCTGGCGTGGCATTGTCCCCCGGGTACACTGGCTCCAGCGGGGATCCCTGGGCACCCAGTGGTGGCTGCAGCAACAGAGCCACGCATGTGGACAGGAGCAGCAGAGAGAGACAGCGGCGTGTGGCAGCCATCTGAGGAGCAAGAAGTGGGGAGATGAGGCAGAACAGAGTCCACCCGCCCAGCCCTTTAGCCCATCACCCATTTCTCCAAGCCTGGGGACTAAGGGACAAAGGAAAGGGCTGCTGGGACCTGACCACCCCACCTCCTAGCCACTGCCCTGGAGAGCACGGACAGCCCCCTCTCACGAGCAGCACGGCTGCCGGAGCTCAGCCAGGGCTTCGGCAAAGTAGAAAAGCATAGCAGAGAAGGTGGGGACATGAGGCAGGAGACACAGGACTCATGACATTCAGGGCCTGATGGCTCTCAGGAGGCAGATGCGGGGTGGGAGTTGGAGGGAAGGGGCTGGTGGGAAGTAGGGGCACTCCAGCTCACCTACAGGGTGGGGACACAGAATGAACTTGTGAACCAAAGGACAGAAATCCATGGCCTTGTAGGTCAGCGCCCCCACCCGCCCCCAGGAGTAGACATGCAGATGTAGGTCCTAGAGAAGACACTATCGCCATGTTACCCTGGACAGACGGGCACAGTCACACACTCGGATCTCACTCACTAGGTCGCAGTCACTCACACATTTGTGTTCACAGCCACCACCGCTTCCCCGCACACATTTGCAGTCCTCTAGCCAGCAGACTACTCTTCCAGGGTGACAGATTTGTCCAGATGTAGAGCCAGACCCAAGCAGGACCTCAGGCCTCCCAAGTCCCCCAGTCCTGCAAAGCATCAACTCCTTCCCCCGATCCCAGGCCCTAGCCTTCCCTGGGCAGGCTGAGCCCACTTACCCTGAGTCCTCAGCGAAAGGGAGCTGGGACAAGCAGGTGCCCGCCTCAGGCTGGATGGGTGCCCTGCCCTCAGCTGTGCCCCTTTATAGTCCTCAGCCCCCCAGAGTCCCCGCCTCCTGTCAGCCTCTCTCACTCCCCAGCCTTCACCCCCTCCTCCCACTGTCTCCCTGGTACCCGCGACGCCAGCGCTGGGGCCAGGGACAGGAGGGGGACAAGGCAGTGTCGTGGTGCCAGACCAGTGGCATAACAGGTGAAAGTGGACAGATAAAAGTCCCCTGTGGGCCCCCATCTGCCTTTGGGCACCAGAGCAGGCTTGGTCCAAGAAGGACAGGGTTCTGGGAGCACAGGATGACTGAAAGGTTCCGGTCGCAACCTTGAAACAGCTCCTCCTGCCTCCCAAGGATTAACCCAAATCATCAAATAGATTCCTCAGGGCAGAGGCTTGAGGCTATGGCTCTGAGACTCCAGGGATGAAGGATGGAGACTCAGGACTTCCTTTCCAACTTGTGATTCTAACAAGGTGGGAATGGGGGAGGTGCCTCAGGCACTATGCGTTGTGGAAGGAGTGGGGCCCCAGGCAGGGAGAAACCGGCTCCTGGGCTGGTGCACAGGAGGCAGAATGAGAACTGACGTACCTGCTTTCAGGCGAAATGGTGTGTGCCAATTTCTAGTCGCCGTTTCCCAGACCCTCCATTCTAGGAGAGGGATAAAAGCCAGCATCATTTGTAGAGCTTTGAATTTTCTAAAGTGCTCCCAGCTCAGTCACCTCACTGAGTCCCTGCAACAACCCATTTTACAGATTCAGAACCTAAGGCTCAGAGACATTAAGTAACTAGCCTCAGGCCACATAACTAGTCAGTGGGAGATCCACGGTTTGAAACAAAGTCTAACCCCAAAATCTGGACTCTTTTTTTCTAAGTGGGGCTGTCAAAGTATTGCTATAATTTCCCACTTTTTGGCTCAGAAATGTGAGGCTCACAGAGGGGAAGACACTTGCCCAAGATGACACAGCTGTCTGGGACTCAAGTTCTGGCTTAGATTCCAGCCCCACCGTCCCAGCCCCACTGCCTCTGGGAGCCTCCGAGTCTCCTTGCTCAGGTCCCTTCCCCAATCCCCGGCCCCCTCCCCAGTTCAGGCTGAGGAGCAGTAACTGGCTGTGTCCGGATGACACACTGAAGCCTGAGTAGGGAGCAAAGGATCTCTCACCCCTGAGGATCTGCTGTCCCAGATCAGGACACCAAAAGTGTGTTCTGGAAGAGGAGTCAGGGGGAGAGGCCTGGAGGTGATGTGGCAGGGATCTGAGCTTCGATTTTCCTCAAGATGTTGAGGATAAGGAAGTTCGGTGAACATCAGTGTTCTTTCTTGCTCCTCTCAATTCTGATTTCTGGTAACAAGAACAATAATGCTTCACCTGACAACAACTTACATTCCACAAAGCAAATATGGAGGTTCTTCTGTTTCCCAAGCCTTGGCCCTTCTCTGGGCCTCCAGTTCCCACTTTGCAAAACATGGGTGGTGAGTTAGTGGCTGGTCCCCGGTGGACCTCTGGTGAGGCCGGCAGAGACTGCAGTCTGCCACCAGGGGGCGCCTGGCTCCATCCCTAGTTTGAAGGGTCTGGGCTCCCCCAGGACTGTAGCCTGGTGGGGACCTATTCTGACAACTACTCACATCAAGACCCAGTTCCTGCCGACAGATGGTAGATCTGGCAATTAACTCAAGTGCTGAGGCCATTTATAGTTCGGTCTTGTCACAGAGGTAAACAGCTTTGTCAACCTAAGAAATGACAGGTACTCCACAATGTCAGCTGCACCCATGGCTTTCATTTTTCTCCTTTGCAAACAACAGATTCTTCTTCTGGGTCCTCTCAGGGATGGTGTGACAATCGAGGGGGAAGAGGCAGGGGATGTGCTTTCTAACTGTATGGCCATGTCCAGAACTGAGCAATGGTTGGGTCTCACTCATCTGCATGTGTTCCGAGGGCTGCCGTGGAGCCCTGCTGGGGAAGCCAGCAAGTACTTACCTGCAGATGGACTCAATGAAGTGATAGTGGTCCCTCTCTGCTGCCCAACCGCACGCGCTCTGGGGCAAGGAGAATGGCCACCAGGCAGTGTCGGGGATAGAGTGAGGGTGATGAGACTAGGGAAGGAACACCCCAGAAACACCGGGGATGAAACACCTTCACAGAGTGAGGGTGAGTGTACAGTAGCAAGGGGCCTGGGGGTCCACACACAGGGGACTGCAGGGACAGGAATTTGACCAGCATTGTGTCCTCCATCACCTGCCTCTCACAAGAGTGTCTCCAAAGCAGCCTGGCCCAACTCTTAGGCCTACGTCATTCCTACACTAGGTGGCAGCAGCAGAGGTGGGGAAAGCTGGGGTATGGCTGCCCTGGGATGCCAGGAACCCATGGAGTCCCCCATCCCCTGGAGAAACCCTTGGGCTGAGGATAGCCGTCACACACACACACACACACACACACACACACACACACACGATGCCTGCAAAAACAAATCCTATCATTGTCAGCCCAAATATTTCCTAAAGAGGAAGGCTTCTTTCTTGCTAAGAGAGAGACTAAACCAATCTACAAAACAAAGTGGGGGGTGGGGGCGGGGACCATAGGGGCTGGGTGTGGAAGGAGGGGAATTTTTCCCAGAAGGGAGAAGTTCAGAGCAGTTTTGAGATGGGTAGGAAGCAGTAGGAGAGTAAAGGAAGAGAAGTGGATTTTAGTAAGCATTGCTGTAGACCTTAGGATGGATCTGTGTGATGTACCCTGAGGACTGGAGTGAAAAGTGGAATTTGTTTCCATTGCTTTGGTGTGGAGCTGTTGTTCCTTAAACGCAGTGCTCCTTGGAATGTGAGCCCTGTGGGACTTTGGGTTTATAAGGGTTACACATGTGCCAGGCTGTGCCAGGCTGATCAGGACTGTAGACTCAGCTCCACCACTCACTACTCTGCCATTCACCAGCTGTGTGACCTTTGGCAACTTACATGATCTCTCTGAGCCTTAAAGCAGCAGAGGGTTATTATTATTTAAGGTGTCAGTATCCTGTTTAACCAGGGAAGAAATAAATGCAGGGAAATGAAATGTCTAGGCCAAAGTCACAGAGTCCATTAACGGCGGAGACAGGACTCAAATCCAAATCTTTTGTCTCTGAGGCCACTGCGCCCACCCTGGGGCCCTGCCCTTGAGGGATGGTGTGGGATAGCCCTGTGTGACGGCTCATATTCAGGCTACAGATATACTCAGGGCATGGCAGGAAGGTTCCTGGAGGACATGAGGCTTGAGGTGGCCTTGAAGAGTGGTGGGGGAATGCTATCTCACATATGTAGGGAGGTGGCAGTGGGACTGAGCAATTTAGGGGCACACATTGAGGAACTGGGGGAGATGCCACCAGAGGAGAAAGAGAAGTGTTATGGAGAGCCTTGCAGCAGAAGAGTTTAGACATAATGGTCAGTGGAATCAGAACTGGCGTGGGGTGGCTTTCTTATCTCTGTCCCCAACTATATGGCCTCCTGCAAGTCTCTCCTCCTCTCTGAGCCTCAAGATTCTCATCTGCTCAGTGAAGAGATAGGACCAAACGATTTCTGGCCGATGTTCAAAGGAGATCGTGTTTGCAGCAGATAATGCTGGTTGCCCCAGTATCCCCTCTCTCCTTCTTCCCTCGAGAGAGTGCTTGAGACGGGCACATGGCCACTCAGCTAAACTCATCTTTAGGTTGTTCTTGTAGTGAGGTGGGACCACGTGACTGAGTTTTAACCAATGAGATGAGAATTTAAATGACATTAAATTCTGGTGCCATTCTGGTTTCAGGAGTGGATGCACCCTCCCGTGGCAAATTGTACCAAAGATGACCACAAAAATCCCTCCTATCCCACACGCAGTTCTGCAGTGAGGTCTGTGTGCCCTCATCCTGAATGTGGGTGCACCTGTGACTGCTCTGACCAGTAGCGTGTGGTGGGAGATGCCATGTGACTTCCAAGGCCAGGTCATAAAAGGCCATTGTTGTGGGTCGAATTGGGTCCCCACAAAATCCATACGTTGAAGTCCTAACCCCCAGTACCTCAGAATGGGACCTTATTTGGAAATAGAGTCATTGCAGATGTAATTAATTAAGATGAGGTCATTGTCTGTTGTCTTTATTAAAAGGGGAAATTTGGACACAGGAACAGACATGCACAGAGGGAAGACGATGTGAAGAGACACAGAAAGGGGCACTCATCTACAGGCCAAGGAGAGAGGCCTGGAACATACCCTTCCCTCACAGCCCTCAGAAGGAACCAACTCTGCCAACACCAAGATTTAAGACTTCTAGCCTCCGGAACTGTTGTTTAAACCACTCAGTTTGTGGTACTTTGTTACGGCAGCCCTAGAAAACCAACACAGCAGTGCAGCTTCCTCCTGGTTCTCTTGGCGCACTCTCTCTGGGGGGAGCCGGCTACCGTGTAGGTCCAGCTGCCCCAAGAACGTCATGCTGGAGAGGCCACGTGAGGGTGCTAGGTCGGCAGCCCCAGCTAAGCTCCCAGCCAATAGCCAGCAGCCCCTGCCAGACACGTGAGCCAGGGGAGCCCTCAGATGACTGCAGCCCCAGCCAACCTCTCACTGTCACTGCACAAGAGACTCCAGGTGACAACTGCCTCATCAAGCCCTTCCCAATCCTGACGCATGATGGTTGTTTTAAGCTGCTAAGTTTTAGGGTAACTTGTTACACCACAGAGTAACCAGCACACCTACACTTTCCCCTTCTCTCCCTTCCCTCTTGCCGGAACACAGAAGTGGTGTTGGTGGGCCATCCTCAATCCTGTAGATGAGGGCATGGAGAAGCCACAAAACAGGACCCTGGGCCCTTGGATGCCCTCATGGAGTGGAGCTGCCGACTCCCCAGATGCCACTGGCATTTTATGTAGGAGAGAAATAAACTCCTATCTTGTTTAAGCCACTGTTAATTCTGTCTCTATTTGAAAAGCCAAATCCATATCTTAGCAATATACTGTGTGTAGAACAAATAGCTCAGTGTCCAGCATGTAAGTGCTTTTTTTTTTTTTTTTATTGTGAGGAAGATCAGCTCTGAGCTAACATCCATGCCAATCTTTCTCTTTTTACTGAGGAAGACTGGCCCTGAGCTAACATCCGTGCCCATCTTCCTCCACTTTATATGGGACGCTGCCTCAGCATGGCCTGACAAGCGGTGCATCGGTGCACGCCCGGGATCCGAACCCAGGCCGCCAGCAGCGGAGCGGGCACACTTAACCACTACGCCACGGGGCCGGCCCCCACAAGTGCTTTTTTAAAAAGGTAGCCATTGCTATTGTCATCATTAATATTACACCTAAGGCACCCTCCACCTCCAACATTGGGTGAGACAGATCATCGGTGGATTAACCACCTGCTCAACACTCCTCCACGTGAACATGAGGGGAACCCACGTCACTGATGGTCAACCAGACATGTCGAGCCGGGCAGAAATTGTCTGTGGTCATGCATAATTCATACCATCCATTAGCCTCAAACTGACTGCGGCTCTCCCGGTCAGACCAACAGACAGGGGACCACGGGCACTGACACAGGTACACATCCTCTCACTCCTCTGACCACAGAATGAACCAACGCTTGTGGCAGCCATTGCATGCTCCCATCCCCCCTCTCCTGGTGCAGGGGAAGTGGGATTGGAGGAGGGAGACAGGAAATGGGATGGGAAGTGGATCTCAGATAATGGTAATACAGTGAGGAGAGGGAGCCAGAGAAACTAACCCTACCCTGAAAAATCAGGAAAGGCTTCTGGGAGGAGGTGACCACTACCCTGAAGATGTTTTCCAGACTGAAGAGAGGGAAAGGCCTCTGCAGGCAGAGGGAGTGACCTTGGCAAAAGCTTAGAGCATCAGAGTCCACATAGCTCGTGACCTGTACCAGGCCTGGGACCTGCCTCCACCTCGCCCTTCCGCCCTACCTCAAGGGAGGCTGGAGGGCAGCTCAGGGGAGGATGATAGGCATCAGAGCCCCATGGTCCCCTAGGGCATGTTGTGTCTGAGCAGGGGCCTCTCTTGCAGCTATGTCAAAGCCAGCTCTAGGTTCTTCTCCCAGAGACACCTAACTGCAAATAGTCCTGGAAGGGCACTGCCCTCCGAAGTGACACCGCCCAGCCTTCCTGCCTTTCTTACCACCTCTGGGTCTGGGGTTTGGCTTCATCCTGATTCTCCCTCTCATTCCCCAGCTCCCTGCCTCAGGCTTGGCCAGGTCCTGCCGAACTAGAGGCCTAGGAGAGAGCCCACAGATAGAGGAGGCCATGTCTGAGGGGGGAGACATAGGCCCTTCTTTCACGGACCCCCCAGACCTAGAAGGGAGACAGAACACAGAGACACGGACAGAACAGAGCAGTGGCCATGAGAGCTGGGCAGCCACACGGGGCAGGAAGAGTGCAGATCAGGGACAATCAAGGCAGACTTCCTAGAGGAAAGGGGCTGGGAAGGAAGAGTGTCAGGGAAGATCAGCCTGCAAACAGGTTCTAGAATTCCTCACAGTCATAGGTGCAGAGTGGTGAGGGATTCGGGTTAGACTCCAGTCTGAACATCCAAAGTGCCTCCAGTCTTCAGTGTCTTGTCCAGGGGAATGGGGGGGGGGGGGAGGCGTGCACAGGAGGGTATCCCCTGGCCTTGTCACCAGGAAGGCACAGTTAGCGGCTTATCCACTGAGTGTGAATTCAGCAAGGTGGAGGACAGCAGATAATGAGGGAAAGGGCAGAAATTGTCTGTGGCCGTGCATGATTCATACTGGGGGTCTCTTCATTCCCATCTCCCCACACTCCTGTTGTTCCTCCTGCCCAGGGAATGGGAGATGTTAGAAATGACCCTTCCCCCAGCACACACACCCACCTCACCCCCCAAACGACTCTTTCTCCACAGCCCCATCTTGGAGCCCATCTCCACCCCCAGCCACTACAACCCTGGGGGCTAGTAATACCTCTCCTGGGGTAACCGCCCTGGGGTGTTGGTGCCTAGCCCGGGCCCGGAATGGCCTTCATCTTTGGGGGAATGCAGCTCTGTCCCCATCTACTCTCCCAGGCTGCCTAGCATGCTCCTCTCTGCCCTCCTCATCCTCGCCCTCTCCATCCTCGGATGACTCTTCTTCCTGCTCCTCCCTGCCCCTTTTCAAGAACTTTCATCCTGCCCCCTCCTCCACCGACTGGAGTTTCACCGAGGTCCCTTGTCTGGGCGCTGTGCACTGGCCGGGCTGGGCGGTAGTGTCTTCTCTTAGCTCAGAGCAGAGGGAGCCCCCCACTCCGCCCCAGTCCTGACCTGGGGCGCCTTTGGTCTGAGGTGCCGAGTCTCCTCCCGGCTCCAGCGCCTCCACCCTCCACTCCCACCTGGATGCCACCTCCACGAAGGAGAAGGGAAAGGAAGCACAAATGCACACATTCCGTTTCAGTGAAATTTGCTCTTTATTTGGGGACCAGGGGAGGACCACACAGCCCTCCAACCCAGAGGGCGGTGGCAGCGAGAAATGGCAATGAAGACCCCACCCGGATCCCTCCCCAGCCGCAGCGGGCAGGGAGAGGAATCCAGGCTCCGGGGCCAGGAGCAAACATGCAAATGAGGTCGGTGTCGTTAGCACATCTCCCAGGAGGCCTCGGGGGTCGTCACCACACGTAGTCGCCTTCTGACCTGGAGGAGGGAAAGAAAGGAATCTGGAGCCCGGCCTCGGCTCTGGGAGAAAGTACCAGGTGGCCGTGCCGGGGTGGGGGCTCCGTGGTGCAGCAGGACCAGGCCGCGCTCCAGAGGGCAGGGCGTGTGGCGAGGGGGGCGCTTTTACCGCGACTTGACCGAGCGGTCCTCGCCGTCGGGGAAGAGCAGTTTCGAGAGGATGGCTTCGGGGCTGTCGCGTTTCCCATACCTGGGGGCGGGGCCGGGAATGGGCGGGGTCAGGCCTGGCCACGCCCCCGGGTGGAGGCGGGCGGAGGGCGGGACCCCCGCGGCGCCCGCCCGCCGGGCGCACGCTCACCGCTGCCGGGTCACCAGGTTGAGGTAGTGGCGCAGCGAGGCGTAGTAGCGGCTCAGCTCTTCGGGCGAGGCGCCTTCGCCGGGAGCCTCGGGTTTGGCGGGGTAGGCGTCGACGAGCGCCCCCAGGCAGGCGAGCAGGGCCAGCAGCACGGTGGCCATGGCGGGCCACGGCCTGCGCACCGGCACCATCTGGAGAGGGGGGCATTGGAGCGTGGGTCTCCCCGAGCCTCAACCCGGACAGCAGGAGGCTGAGGCTGCAGTCGGACTCACGCTCCAGCGGCCTGCCTGCGCCTGGTACCCAACCGGGGCTCAGCCACCCCCTCACTGTGTGTTCTCTGGCACTGCACAGTGTCTGGCCTCAGTTTCCTCATCTGTCAGAGGGGCCTAAGCCCTACCTGCATCCCCTCTCCCCACCCGCTGCTGCCCAGAAGGGTAGATGGAGGAAGAGAGCTATGCGGGTAGTGGGGGCTCTGGGCCTCTCTTCTTACTACTTCTGCTGGCCCCCTCCCAATCCAGCTTCCCACCACTCAGTCCCAGTTTCCACCATCCCAGCCTTAGTTTCCTCACAAAGTAGCTTGGGTTCCCCAGCACCAGACCATTCCTGGGCCCCGGGCCACTCACAGCGACAGCTCCCGAAGCGGAGATGAGCAAGAGGTGAAGAGTGAAAGAGTCCCAAGGGCTGGGCCTCTGCAGGTCGGGCTGCGGCCTCCTCTGCTCAGCGCTTTCCCTGCGGGGCTTATATCCAGGCCTGGAAAGGGAGGGGGAAGCCGAGGGGGAGGGGGAACCCTAGGGGGGACGGCCCTTCCTCCTCCCTCCTCCACCCCCGCTAGACCGCTGAGCCCACACCCAGACAGTGCATGACGTCTCCACCTCACAGGAGCTGCGGGGGAAGCCGCCATTCTCAGACTCATGGTCCCTCTGGACGGGGTGCCTAGCCTGAACCCAGTCTTCACCCCACAGCCCCCGACAGCAGGTCTAGCCTCCTGAGGAAGTGAAGCATTTGGATCTAGACTCCTGGGGCAGACCAGAGATCAGGGTCCATCTTCCCCAGCCTGTCCATGGGTGGGAGTGGGGGTTGGTAGGCTGGACACGTTTCCTCAGCCTGTGGGACCTGTGACGACTCCTTCCAGAAGGCAACCTTTTCGGCCCCTGCTTGCCAATAACTTGGAGAAGGGCCGAGGCATGACAGGACCTGTGAGGAAAGTCTCTTTCCGCTGCAGGCAGGGGTGGGAGCTCTGACTTTGGCTCTTGACCTGCTGTTCATGATGTCCTGGAGGAAGAGCCTCTCCGAACGTGCCATTATGTCCCTCTCCATTAAAGATTTGAAGAGGGGGCAGGAGGAGGCAGAAGCCAGTGCCCTACCCAAAAGTACCTGAGTCTGCCACCTGTGCATCCAGCCTGGCACATACAGACCCGGGTTGAGCGAGGCCTGGCATAGAGTCCCCTGCCAGTGTGCCCCCAGCCTCATCCAGGTGTCATTCAGGGCACTGGTGTCTTCTGGGCCTGAGCAATGCCAGGACTGCATTGTCCCCAGCCCAGTGCAGCCCCTCTGGGGCAAAGACCCTCATGCAGGGCCTTCAAAGGGAAGAGGAAAGGATTAGTGTTTATTAAGCACCTGCTGTGCACCGGGCAGTGCGTGATTTCGGGCACAAGAACACCACGAGCTGAGTTAATCCCCATTTTACAGATGAGGAAGCTGAAGCTCTGAGAGGTGAGAGAATAGCCAAGGTCACCCAGGATTCAAACAAGAGAAAAGGACTGAGGCAGACTCCAGGAAGAGGCCCGCTCATTACCTGGACTAACCGTGGGCCTCAGGAGTCGGGCAGGGGAGCAGGGGAGGGGAGGCAAAGTGTGAGGCCCGCCACCAGCTCTGAGAGGCCGGGGTCAGGGAGGGGCCTCCGGACGCCAACCCCATCAGACCCGCCTGCCCCGCCAACAAAGCCCTTTCCCGCTCCCTTTGCCTGGCCCGGCCGGAGCCTCCAGTGCTTCCAGCTGTCCCATCAGTCCTGGAGGGCAGGAGGGGCCATCTTGTCCAGGCCCCTGCTTCTGGGCCAGCTCCTCCACCCTCAGGACAGATGGCCGTGGGTGTTTTTTTAGAGCTCTCCTGAGGTGGAGAGTCCAGGGCTACCTCAATCACCTTTTTATGGGTTCAGTCACCTGCACTCTCAGGAAATGGCTCCTTATCAGCCTGTCAGGCCCCGTGGGCCCCTCACATCCCAAGAAAGGCCAGGGCGCTTTGCTGAGCACAGGGGTGGAAGAGGACACGGGACAAGGGGACAGACATGGACCCCACCCTCAGAGGGAGGAGAAAAATCATTCTTAGAGAGCTCTCGTCTGAGGGGCGAGGCACAGCCCTGTTCTCCAGGAACCAACTCAGAGAGTCAGGCTGTATCTTTGGCTATCCCCAGGCCGAGGTGAGGGGCACAGCAGGATCACAGGGACTCCAGCCTGAGGGAGGAAGCTCTCCACTTTCCTTGCAGAGCCCAGTCTGAGGAGCTCCCAGAACACAGAGACAGAGACAAACACAGAGAGACAAGTGTTGTCCAGTTTGGAGAGAATACAGCGGAGATGAAAGAGCTCCACTCCTCCAGAGGCCATGGAAAGACAGACAGGTGCTCGTCCTAGGGACAGAGAGGGCAGCCAGGGGGCTGGTTAGGACAGCTGTAATCCCAGGGGTCAGGGCCTAGAGGAGGACGCTGCAGGCTAAAGGGGGCAAGGATAGCGGAGAGTGGGGGGCTGTTTGCTCTTCTGACACTGCCGCAGTAGCTGGGGTGGTGACCAGGGTTTCTAGTGTGCTGATCCTGGGCTGACAGAGATGACAGGAGCTGTGAGATGCCCACAGGGAATCAATGGCACCCAGAAACCCCCTCATGCCTTGGGGTCTGAGGACAGATGGGAGGAGAGGAGAAACAGTGGAGAAGCTAGAAGGCCCAGATTCAGGGTACAGCCTCTGAAGAGGTCACTTCCTCATTTACTTTTAGGGTGAAAGTAAATGGGACCGAAGGAGGTCCCGCAGTGTGGACCAGGAGCCAGCCTCCCACATCTCACAAACCCTCCCTCTCCATCACGTCCCCGCCCTCCAACTCCACTCCCCAATTACAGGGCAAGCTGATTGGTTCATTAATCACCACCTCCTCATTGAGGAGTTTATTAACTTGTTGATTAGTGGGGAGGACGTCTCAGCCCTCAATCAATGGGCTCAGCTACCCCACACACACACACGCACCCACCGCCATCATTGACCCATGACTCAGTCACTATGAGACATGTCTCAGGGTGGGGGCTGACATCTGTGAAGGAAGAAACTTCAAAATAATTGTTATTGTAGACTTGGGACCAGCTGCTGCCTCCAACTTGTCTTCAAGGAGTAGAGGGGACAGAATCACTGGGGTTCTCTTGATCCCTATTCTCAGAGCACCTAGCAAGGCCACCTCAGGGGCCAAGGAGGCCATGGACTTGGACCCCAGCTGACCACTCCCCTTGTCCAGTGGGCTCAAGGGCCACTTCTCAAGAGAGGGTGGCCCATGCCACTCATTCTCAGAGGCTTAGCATTCTGTACCCCCCATCCACCCTCCCCACTTCCAACACATGAGGCGTCTCCTTGACACACCACACACGGGGCAGCACTAGTCCACTGCCTTCCACCCTCAGGCCAGGCCTGCTCCCCAAGATCCTATAGACAGACAGACAGCAGGTTGCCGTGCAGCAAGAGTGACTCAATCCCCATTCAACAAGCACTTGTTAAGCCCCTACTTGAGCCAGGCACTGTCTAGGCACTGGGGACAGAGCAGTGGACAAACAGGCAAAATCTTTGCCCTTGTGAGTCTTATATTCTAGCGGCAGGAAATAGAAAATAAATGAATAACCAAAGAAACAGGTGGTATGTCTGATGAGGATAAGTGCTGTAGAAAAAAATCAGGGTAAGGAGGATAAAGAGTACTAGGGTGGGGGGCCTAATTTTATATTGGATGGTTAGGGAAGGCCTAACCTGTAAGATGGCATTTGAAGGAAGTGAGGAAGCAAACCATGAGGCTACCTTGGGAAGGGTGTTCCAAGTAGGGGAAAGAGCAAGTGCAAAGGCCCTGAGGTGGGAACGTGCTCAGCAGTTTGAGGAATGGCAAGGAGGTCCACGTGGCTGGAGTGGAGTGGGAATGGGGAGAGTTAGAAGGAGATGAGATCAGGGAGGTAGCAAGGGGATCAGATGATGTAGGTCCTTGTAGGCTGTTATGAGGACTTTGGCTTTTGCTCAGAATGAGATGAGAGCTTTGGTCAGAGGAGTGACATCTTCTGACTTAACGTTTTAAAGGAAGCATTCTGGCTGCTGTGTTGAGAATAGACTGAAGGTGGGTAAGGTCAGAAGCAGGAAGGCCAGTTAGGAACCTATTGCAATCCAGCCAAGAGATGGCGGTCTCACACACACACACACACACGCACACTCCTCACAGCTGCAAAGGTCCCACTCATGTCTCACCCAAGAACAACTTCCAGTGATGTCTGTACGGTACTGACAGCCTCTCATCTAGCTGAAAAAATCTGCTGGAGAAGACAGCAGAAAATCAATGGATGTGCCCAGTAAGGTTAGGTGGTAGATCTGTCTGCTCTCTGATTGTTAAGGCACCTCGTTCATTAGTCCGTGGGAAACTCTCTCTGCTATATATAGTATATATATATATATATATATATATACTGGCTACGGCCCAGGAAAATACTGGCTACTGTGATGGTGCTTATAGAAATGCCAGCTTCTTCATTCTGTCATGAGTGTAAATGTCCTCTTACTTAAAAACACTCTGGCTCTTTGCACAGAATGAAGCAGAGAATGAAGATTAGCCAGTTAACACCAGGGGAAAATGGCCACATCCCTCCCAAGAGATATTAGGCACATTCAAGGAAGCTTCGTCATCTCCCAGCACAAATGGGAGGGAAGAAAGCAGACACACTCCCGACTTCCCACGATCTGTCACCGCCCGCAAAGCCCTGTGGAGGGCAAGTGGAACCACGAGGGAGCGAGTGAGGTCAACGGGAGTTGTCCAAACTGTCACACCGTGGATTCTGGTTATATCCGTGGAGGGGAGGGGGGTGGTTGGGAGGCAGTAACGGCAAGACAGAAGGGATTGTCACTTTTTATGGTAGGAGTTCTCCTATGAGACCTCCCCTCACCCGAAGTTCCAGGTTCTTCTGTAAAACGCAGCAACAGATACCTGTGACGTGGTGCATACTCAAGGCTCGGGCTTCTCCCTACAGTGGATATCGGCAAAATCTTTCTGCAAAGGACCAAATAGTAAATATTTTAGGCTGTGCAGGCCACGTAGTCTCTGTCACAACTATTCAACTTGGCTTTTGTAGCACAAAAGCAGCCACAGAACTGTGCAAAAAATGAATGGACATGACTGTGCTCCAATAAAACTTTGTTTGTGGACATTAAAGAGTGAATTTCATATACTTTTCACATGTCATAAAACATTATTCTTCTTTTAGTTTTGTTCAACCATTTAAAAATGTACAGGATGTATAAAAACGGGCCCGTGATCTAGAAAAGGGAGGACGTCGGTTCCCTCCGGTTAGGTTGTCTGTTTACTTGGGTGTGTTCCCTCGCCTGTTTATGCCAGGTATACTTGTCACTGTAATCACATGATCGTATAATTCAAGTAAATATGACACAAACTGGTGAAATATG